TGATCAAAAAGAATGAAATCTTGCCATTTGCAACAACATGGATGGAACTAGAATGTATTATGTTAAGTGAAATAAGTCAGTCAGAGAAAGACAAATATCATATGATTTCAGTCATATGTGGAATTTAAGAAATGAAACAGAAGAACATTGGGGAAGGGAAGGAAAAATAAGATAAAAACAGAAAGAGAGGCAAACCATAAGAGATTCTTAAATACAGAGAACAAACTGAAGGTTGCTGGCAGGGTGTTGGGTGGGGGGATGGGCTAGATGGGGGATGGGCATTAAAGGAGGGCACTTGCTGGGATGAGCACTGGGTGTTGTATGTAAGTGACGAATCACTAACTTCTGCTCCTGAAACTATTATTAGATTATATGTTAACTAACTTGGATTTAAATAAAATTTTAAAAATAAAATAAAATAATTAAAAACGCTTAAGAAATAAAAATTAAAAAATCCATAAGATCATATCAATAGATGCAGAATGTTGATAAAATTCAACATCGATTCCTTAGCAAACCAGCAGTAGAAGAAAACATTCTCAATTAGATAGAACGGCAGCTATGAGAACCTTCGGCAAAAACCATATTTAATGGTCAGATATTGAAAGTGTCCCTTGTGAGTTTGGGACCATCCAAGGACCCTTCTATTAACACTTCCATTCCATACTGGACAAGGCACCTCAGCCGGTAAAACAAGAAGGAAGAGAAGTTACGTGATTTGAAAATGAAATAAACTGTATTTTTTTTTTTTTTTTACAGATGGCACAGTTGTGTACAGAGGAAACCCGAGTCATCTAGAGACAAATGACTAGAATTTTAAGTAAGGTTAGCAATGCTTCAAATATAAGGTTAAAATATAAAAATGAATTGTATTTCTATGTACCAATAATATACAGAAACTAAAGATTTTTAAAAAGATGACAATATTCAAAATACCAACTGTTCCAACACCAAGTAATAAACTATGATGGAAAAGTCCTCTTACAAAACCTACAACACTCCGTTTAGAGAAATTAAAGAAGATTGACACAATGGAAAGGATATATTATTTTGCGAATGGAAAGATTCAATGCTATAAACACGTATGGTCTCCTCAAGTGATCAGTGCAGTTCTGATTAAAATTCCAGCAGGATTTCTAGGTGGAACTTGACAAACTGAATCTAAAGTATCTATGAAAATGCCAAGGACCAAAAATGGCCAAGAACCTCTTGAGGGAGAACAAGAACAAGGGAGAAGACATTTTACCAGGTATCAAACTTAGAATGAATCTGTAATGACCGGTCTATAAAGACAGCATGGTCCAGGCACAGGCACAAATGAACAAGCCAATGGAGCAAAAAGAGAATAAAAAAAAAAAAAATTGATCCTCACTATGTGGAGCCTTGATTTGTGATGAAGGTAGCACTGGGGGGGGGGGGGGCAGTGGTGGGATGGGGACAAGGCCAATCTTTTCAATACGTGGTTGATAGGATATCCATTTGGAGAAAAATGAAACCTGACCCATTTCACTCCATACTTCAAAACTCATTTTCAGGTACATAACAGATAGAATGTGAAAGATGAGCCGTAGGGTCTTTAGAATGACAGAGAATATCTTCCTTACCTGGGAGGAGAGAAAAAGATTTCTCCAACAGGACACAAAGCTCCATCTATGAAGGAAGAGGTTACTGAATTGTTCTACGCTAAAGTTAACAACTTTTCTTTATCAGAAGGTATCACCGAGAAATTGCAAAGGCAAGCCACAGAATGGGCGAAGGTATCTGCTAACATGTAACTGCCAAAAAGCTAAAAATATTTAAAGAACTTATACTAATCCATTCTAAAAAGCCTGAAGTTCAAAGGGAAATGGGTAAGAGATTTAACAGGCACTTCAAGAAAGAGGATATTAATATGGCCAATAAACATAAGAAGTGTTGCTCAGCTTCCTTAATGATTAGGGAAATTTAAAATAAAGCTATAAAAAGACACATCCAATGACCAAAATTTAAAAGGCCAGGGGCGCCTGGGTGGCTCGGCCAGTTAAGCGTTTGACTTCGGCTCCGGTCGTGATCTCACAGTTCGTGAGTTCGAGCCCCACACTGGGTTCTGGGCTGACAGTTCAGAGCCTGGAGCCTGCTTCGGATTCTGTGGCTCCCTCTCTCTCTGCCCCTCCCCTGCTCGTGCTCTGTGCCTCTCTCTCTCAAAAATGAATAAACATGAAAACAATTGTTTTGAAGGCCAATAACACCCAGTTTTGATTAGAAGGCAGAGCTGGCCTAAAAGAAAATTGGTGTGCTCACTTTGAAAAAAAAGTTTGGCCTTATGCAGCCAATTTGAGGATATGCATCCCCTATGATTCAGCAATTCTACTTCTAGGTGCATACCAAACACAAATATCTGCACGTATCTACCAAGAGACACACATAGGAATGCTCATGGTTGGAATTTTTATAATAGTCTCAAACTGGAAATAACCCAAATGTCCATCAATCGTCAACTAGGTAAACTCTAGTATATCCGTACGCTGATATTCTATAAATGAAGCGATGAAAACGAACGTATTACATACCAAGCACAAAGACATACGAATCTCGTGAAAGTAATACCGAGCAAAAAACCCAAAAAGCCCAGAACAAAACCAAAACCAGGCCCAAGAGGAAAAATACGGCAGGACTCCGTTTTTATAAAGTTAAAGGAAGAGAGAGAGAGCTAAAGTATATTTTTAGAAGTCAGGATAGCGGTATGTTTGGCAAGGGGAGGGAGACTAGAGACGAGGGGGTGGGCACTAGGAGGTCTTGTGGGCGTTGCTGGCAATGTTCTGTTCCCTGATCTGGGTGGTAGTTATTATGGTATTACAGCACTCGATACTGAAAGACGTAATTTCTCCTCAAATGGATGTGTAGATTCAATGCAATCCTAATGGGTTTTTCCCCCCTTTTGTGATACTTGAGAAGCTGATTCTGAAATACACGTGTCAGTACAAAGGGTCGGGAAGAGTCAAAAAATTGTTGGAGAAAAGCAAGGCGGGAAGGTTTGCTTTACTAGATTCCACAATGGGGTAATTCGCTGAGCCGACAGTCACACTTCGTATATGCGTCATACCTGACAGTAAGAAGACAGACGCCAGCAGCATCAGACGGAGTGGGCAGGGAAGGCTAAAGTTGAAGCCAGCCATCTAAGCATGTAAATGCAAGGGAGAGGTTGCTCTTGGGACTCTCCTATACATATATACATATATACATATATACATATATACATATACATATATATACACACACACATATTTTCAGTTTATTTATTCGGAGAGAAAGAGAGAGCAAGCAGGGGAGGGGCAGAGAGAGAGGGAGAGAGAGAATCCTAAGCAGGCTCTGTGCAGTCAGCACAGAGCCCGATGTGGGGCTTGAACCCACAAACCATGAGATCATGACCTGTGACGAAACCAAGAGTGAAAAGTTTAACCGACTGAACCACCCAGGTGCTCCGGGACTCTCCTATTTTTAATGTTTGTTTGTTTATTTATTTTTGAGAGAGAGACAGACAGACAGAGCATGCGCAGGGGAGGGGCAGAGAGAGAGAAGGAAACACAGAATCCCAAGCAGGCTCCAGGCTCTGAGCTGTCAGCACAGAGCCCAACGCTGGGCTCGAACTCATGAACAATGAGGTCATGACCTGAGCCAAAGTAGGACGCCCAACCGACTGAGCCACCCAGGTGCCCCAGGTCTCCCATTGCCAAATGGAACTTGGCTGTCAGACATAGTGATGGCCTATGTATTAAACCCTCCAGGCCACCAGGGGGCAGCAGAAATAAGAGCTTCGGCCAAGAGTCCATCCCTGGTTATCAGAAATGCCTTCCCATCTGATGCAATTTTCCAAGGTGTTAATCAAAGCTGTCTTCACCTTCATGCCCTTTACTCCAGAATTTGCTTCCTCTGCATGACCAGATTCTGCCTTGTACATCACCTAGCATTGCCTTCACTTCTGAAAAACCAGAATATCTTCCTGGCTAACTGTATTCCGTTAGCCTCCCTCTAACTTCTAACATAGCTGCATCCTGACTTTATCATGACTAGTCATCTGTCCAGCCAGAATCCTCAAATCCTCCTTCCCTGTCTCTATGGTGCTTTGCAAACTCCTACATTTGCATCAGACCAACACATCATACCACAGCCTCTCTAAACCTTCCCTCTGTCCTCAGGCCTTCCCCCCTGTCTCTTGAGAAGGGCAAGTTAGGTAACAGGGACCCACAGACACCCGGAACACCACAGCTAGAGGAGTCGTCTATCATAGGTTTCTTGCTTCCTCGTTCTTCCCCTATGAAGACACAGATGCCCAGGTTACCCAGTGTTTTCATCATTTCAAATAATAAATAGCCCCATCAGACATTGAAGTTTAATGCCTTTTTGGAGAGCTCTTGTTCTTGACTTCTGCTTCCCTAATTTCCTCTGCTCCGGAACCCATGGAGAACCACGAACGTCAGGCATGCAAGACGGACTGGCCAGGAATCCCACGGAAACACGACAGGCCCACACCGGACAAAGAAAGTCTAGAACTTACACCTGATTTCTGGACTTGGGCATAGATAGTAAGGCTTTTTGCTTCTGTGGTTGACTGGTAATGATTTGCTTTACCTGGGGAAAAGAAATCACAGTAGTTATCTCTCTGTGGCCTACCCAGAGAACTCCACTCAGACCTATGTGGTCTTTACCCCCCCACCGCATACCCCCCCCTTCCCCAGGAGTACCAAAGGAACAGACACCAAGTCCCAAACCCCCTGTATATGTGTCACATGACATGAGGTTGGTTACTTGATCTCTCTGTTTCTATTTCTCTGAGAAATGGGACTGAAGTATCTTCCCCCACAGGGCTGTTGTGATGGTCCCGTGAGATGTCATCTGTCAAGTATTTAGAACAGTGCCTGGTCCACAGAAAATTCCCAGTATGTGTTACATGGAATTGGAATGCCATTCAATTATTTTAATCTCTATTGTTTAATGTGCATATCTGGTCTCCTCCCAGGATTCTAAGTGCTTTGAGGACGGGGCTTATGATGTTTGCATACTCTCCCACGTGTAGCACGGCGCTTGGTTCAGCTTTCTCACTCAACCCTCTGTTTCTGGGACACTTTGTGCGCGTGTAGAGGAAGGGGGTACAAGACGGATGATCCCCCAAGACTGATCGGAAAATAAAGGGACAGCGTCATTCTAACACCCACCACCTGGAAACTTTGCTCAGAGCCTAGGGTCTCCGGAATTTAATTCATTGCAGGACACTTTAACAGTTAGCCAGTTTTTGAATTTCGTCTTTTTAAATTATAAAAATAATTCATTCTCATTACAAAAATTAAAATTGCATAAGGTCAAAAGTACATCCCTCGTCCCCCACCCCAACCAAGGCAATTTCATGTCCAGAAACGATTGCTTTTAAGCTCGACATATATCCTTCCAGACCGACCCTGTGCAATTGCAGGAATGTCGCACACCTGCAGTCTGAGAGAGAGAGCGTGAGCATGGGAGGGGCAGAGAGAAGGGGGGGGCAGGGACACAGAATCCGAAGCAAGCTCCAGGCTCTGAGCTGTTAGCACAGAGCCCGACACGGGGCTCGAACTCACAAACCGGGAAGTCCTGAGCCGAGGACGCTCAACCGACTGAGCCACCCAGGCGCCCCTGTTCTCTGGAGTTCTTTATGCGCTTCGTGCAGGGGTGAGAAGCGTGGTGAAAGTACCAGACTAAAGCATGGAGGCTAATTTGGGGACGCTTGCCAAGTCCAGGCGGAAGCAATGGAGGCTTGACCGAGAGGAAATCACACAGGGTCTTTAGGTTGGACTTATTTTAACGCCGATCAATTGATCCTCTTAAAAAAATGAGGAGCCAGTCCCTGAGGGAATAGCACCGAGGAGCGGTACGCTTTTATTTGGAAGGGGAAGGCCGAAAATGTATGTATGCGGTGAAGGTGCTAGAAGGTGCCGCATGAGAGTATATGATCGTTGGAGTAGAAGGCGAAGCTCAAAGCTCTCAAAGAACGTCCGCGTAGGATGTGCTTGTGTCCGGGGGTGGGGGGTGTGCATGGACTGCCTGGTGGTTCCGGCTTTACTTTTTGGCCAGGACTGATACTGGCTGCCGAGTGTGCAGAACGGAGGCTGGGGCTTGGGGGTGACTGACGGGGTAATGAGAGGGGGGCACAGGTTGGGTCTGTGAGAGTGTTTGCAAAGTTAGCCGCGCCCGCCCTGGCCTGTGCTCAGTCTGTAGGGGAACAAACAGTGGAGAACAGACACCCGTCTTGAGGGACTTCGACTCTCGGGTCAGCTTCTGGCCGAAACGGGTGATTGTGGGGACAGCCCCGAATGCTCAGACAGATGGAAGAAGGGAGGCCGAAACGCCGCGTCCGAGAGAAACACTGATCGTTCAAGATCGTTCGGTCGCACAGTGTCCTTCCTAGCTCCAGAGCAGGTTTTGGGAGTCAGCTCAACTCAGCTCAGTCGGTGAGGCCCTGGGGCCGAATGAAAATGTTCATCGTGGCCTTAGAGTGAGGGTAGCTACTCCCTAGTCCTCACTGGCTGAGTGGCATTGGACAGAACCTGCCACCGAATTGGGTCTCTTCTCTTACTTTAACCATAAAATTCAGATGGAGAATGTCTAACGTCCTTTCCAACCGTGGCCTGAAGGACAAAGTCGTCCTTTGTTACCCAGGCTTCATGGGCTTGTCCTGAGTGCTGTTCCCAGATGCGGCCACATCTGCTGGTGATAGGACTTAAACCATTGGTGTTTGAATTCACTCCCTTAGGAGATTTGTCTAGCGTGTATGTATCTGTCCATCTGTCGTGCATCTGTCCGTGTCCCACCATCTGTCCGTGGACACCCCCGTATTCGGTGTTTTGGGCGTATGGACTCCTGGATCCCCACAACACCGCACCTTACATAACTTCACCCCTGTTTTGCAGGGGAGACCTCACTGATTCAGTTACCCAGCCCGTCAGTGGCCGAGTCTGCGCGTGAATGTAAGTTTGGCCAGTGCCCGACCCCGTATGTTGGAGCAGTGTATTCTGGGCATGAAATTGCTAGGGAGACCCTTTGCAGAGCTTCAGAGTCAGGCGGCATCTCGGAGGTGACGGCATTCGTGTTAATCTCAGGGTCCTCAATCCTGGTATCTCGCCGTTTCCTTCTTATCTAGGCCAAATGTGGGTGCCTTGCCCCGTCCCCTTAGGCTCTCAGCATGGTTTCTGTCTGAATCACCCCACCCCAACCCCTCCCCAGCTAACTCTTAGATGGAGGAAATGAGACAAAAGTAGGCGGCTGGGCTGTGATCTTGACTTTTTTCATGCAAGCCAACCCGACTCAGGGTGCTGCGGTAAGGGCTTTTCTGAGAAGGTCGCACGTGACCGATCTACTTGGCAAATAAGATCAGCCATCAGCTTTGTGGCATGAAAATCAAGTCCCGTCCTCACCACGGGACGGCCAGCCCGGGAAACTGGACCTGTGGGACTGTGGTATGGGCGGGTGAGGCGAGTGGGGCTGAGCGCATTGCTCCTTGATGTGGAATCAGGGGACGACCTGGAGAGGAGGCCAAGAGACCCTACCTCTAGGTACTTAACCTGCAAGGAAGTAATGGGGCCTTCAGAGCCATCCCGGGTGACCTTCCGTATCATTTGGTCTGGCCGTAAGCAACTCGCAAATGGTACCGTTTTCCAAGGTGAGGCAGAAGAATTTGTGCACAAATCTTAGTAAAGAGCATTCCCTCCACTGCCTTCCGGTGACCCGTGGACCTTCCCCGTGGCACGCACCCTGGGGGTGGGGGTCAGTTCTGGTCTTTCATTAACAGGCTGGGTGAACTCGCACGAGTCACGTAGCCTCTCTCTGCGTCTTTTACCCCGTTGCTGAGTCACGTAGAAACGACTTGCAGAGGATATTGCGGGAATAAAAAGAAATTATAGAAAGGTTTCAACCCTTGGATGAGTGCCTTTTTATTAGTCAGTAATTCTAACGTTTCTTGAATGAAATCCAGGAGTCCCCTGGATTCTGCGTCTGGTGAACATTGTTAAGCCTCTGGACCCCTTCAGCATCCTGTATATACGTCTACACCAGAGCGAGGCATACGGAATGAGGACGATCTGCGTAAGGCCTCCCGCGTTAGACACCTGTGGCTCATCCCTCTTTCCATTCCCACAGCCCAACACAGGGGATCAAGACATGTGTTGAATCACGGGGCACCCGGGAGGCTCAGTGCGTCCGACTCTTGATTTTGGCTCAGGTTGTGATACCCGGGTCATGGGATCAGGCCCCAAGCTGGGCTCTGTGCTGACGGCACTGGGGCTGCTGGGGATTCTCTCTCTCCCTCTCTCTCGGCCCCGCCCCCCGAATAAATAGATAAACATAAAAAAAAAAAAAAAAAGACATGCTGATTTCTACCGAACTGAGCAAGGCCCCAGGATATGTGTATTTAGTTATCGCAAAGGTGCTTTGTGGAGAAAAGCGTGCTAAGGGGTGCAAGCAGATCTTTGCTTGTGGGGAGCCGTCCCTGCTTACCGCAGAATCTGATATGAGTCTCTTCACTGACACCTACCTCTTCTTCTCAACAGCAGCACTGCTACTTTGAGCGTCAAGATGACACCAATGATGGCCCCTGAGGACAGCCCGACATACAGTCCCCAGGGTCTTAGTTCTGAAAAAAAAGGTCAAAGGGCAATCTCAACAGTACTGCGAGTTTAAAAACATCCTTCCCGGAAGTGGGGAGACCAAGCCTCATGTTCTCGTTCTCTATTCTCGGGGGTGACATCCACTCTGATGGTTTCAGATAGCGGCTTCAGATCACCGAAGATTCCCCACCTGTTCTCTTATCCTTATTCCTCTCTCCACACTCCATTTTCCTAATTTCCGTAAAGATTTTTCCGCTCAAATGCCTGATGGGCACGTTGATGGCCACATGGCTCAAATCAGACTCATCTTTGTCCCAAGTCAACCTCTCTTCCCGTTTCCCTAGTGTTAAACCTCATGCGTCCTGCATCCATTTTGGTTGAATGAACACATGCGTACTGCCGACTGTCCCCACACCCCGACACCCCCCCACACCATTGTCATGAGACGCTGGGAGGAAGAACGACCAATTTCTGTCTCTTAAAAATGAACACGATGGTGCTATGATCGTCCTTCCATGCAAATAACTTTACTGAGGCCACTGGACCCGAACTGAAAGAAAAGCATGTACGTTTTCCTCTCAGCGATCCCCAGGCTTAACATGAGCCCTTGAGTGGCAGTCAGCAGGCTCAAAGTCACAGAGCACCCCCCCCCTTTTTTTTTTAATGCTTTCTCTCCTTTACCCACTTCACCAAATGCTTCTGAGCCAGGAGCGGTACCTTGGAAAAGAGCGAAAGAGACCTGAGTCCCAGCAAACAAGACATTTAGCTTACTGAGGTAGTAACGGACGATGAGCCAGGCTTTATTTTTAGGGCATCATGTGTATTAATAGATACAGCCCTCACAACAGCCCTGAGTAATGAGGTTCTCATTACTCCCCTGTTGTGCGGAAGGAAGCAGGCATGGAGACCCTCGAATACTAGAGATCGGTCTAGGGGTACAAATGTGGCTGAGTGTTGAAGACAGACTTCGGGGAGAGTCAGAGAGGCTTATGGGCTCGGGGTGAGATACCCCAGGGTAATGAACAGTGGGTTCATTACCTGAAGCACCAGGATTTTAAGTAAAGTAACAGCATTAAGGCTCTAAACACAGTTGACCCTTGAACAGCCTGGGGGTTAGGAGTACCGGCCCCCTGACACAGTTGAAAATCCATGTGTGACTTTTGATTCCCCAAAAACTTAACTGTTAACCAGTTAAGTTCCCCAAAAACTTAGTTGATTCCCCAAAAACTACTGTTAACCAGAAACCTTCCTGGTAACACAGAGAGTTGACGTATTATATGTATTAGATGCCGTTCTTACAGTAAAGAAAGGTGAAGAAAATGTTGAGACAACCGTAAGGAAGAGAAGATCTATTTCCAGTACCGTATTGTATTTGTAAAAAAAATAAAAATAAATCTGTATATAAGTGGATCCACCCAGTTCAAACCCGTGGGATTGAAGGGCCAGCTATGGCATAAGGGCAGGTGTTGGCATTAATGTGCCAGGGTAGTTTATAAGGATGATTGTAGAATCGGCCTGCTTGTTGTTGAACTTGGGGTGGATTGCGGGGGCGGGGGGAGATGTTGAGATGAAGGAATAGGTGGGTTGTAGAGGAGCAGAGTCCCTACAAGCATCACTCACACAGTTGACCTGTGACATTCACAGAGTTGGCCAAAGCTACAGGCTAAAGTCTCAGGGCATCGATAAAAGGCCCAAGTGGGCCTTCAGCCCGATGGCTCACCAGAGATTGCCTCCTGGGTTTGAAAAGTTTCCTCCTTTTGCTTCCTAGGCCTTTCACACATCAAGGCATCCCAAGGAACCTCACTGAACTGGCTTTGTAAGCAGTTGACCCTCTTGATTATTGACCCTCTTCCCCAGACTGAAGAAGCTTTCACCCTGCCAGTTACCAACTCCAGCGGACAGGCGTGCCATGTGACCTGATCAAAGAGCCAGGGTGCAAGCAGAGAGTGGCTGTAAGGCTCCTGGATTAATATCAAGCCTAAGATTTAAGCATGGAGACACCACTGTGGTTGGAACTTCCTGCGAGCGGTCCTCCTCTGAATGGCTTGTGGTCACTGAGAACCCTCTTCGCAGGTGGGGCGTGTGTGTGTGGGTGCATGTGTGTCTGAGACAGCACAAAGAAAGAATGATTACTCAGGGCTTATGTTGCCAACCCCAGGGGCATGGAGAAGTGCCCCAAATCCTAAGCTAAGAAGCAGAGACAGCAGCCAAGCGCCACCATGTTCCGGGGGTCCATGGAGGTGAGCCAGAAAATCGTGACAGCGAGTCTGACTATCGTGAGACGACTTCCTTTCCCTTCTTCCCTCGTGTATGTTGGGGACCTGCTAAAACAACAGTTACTTGAAGAACAAATGACTGGGCCAGAGCACGTAACAACGCCAGCCCTGTTTCTTTTCCAGGGAGCCGTGAGGATGAACGTCATCTGCTGTCCTTGTCCCATGACATAACCGACCAGCTTCTGCCCATCCAGCCAGATCTGAGAGGCAAGCTGGCTGTCATCCTGAGATATCACAGCCCGGATTCTTCTCCTAGTCTTTGAATGCAAAGTAATGTGAACCTGTTCGAGGGTTTAAGCGACAGCTCCATAGAGGTTTTGAATATTAGAGGAGCTGGAGCATCATCTCACCCGACTCAGTAATTTTTACGTTGAGGGAACTGCGATTCAGACAGGTGTGCCCAGAGCCACAGAGAGGTTGATGGCGGAGCTGGGCAGGATGAGAACTGTGGACTTCACAGTCTTGTGTTTTCTCCTGTGGCGGTGGGACCCCGCGAGGAAAGCCCTGGGAGGTGCCCGTGCCCTCAACACCCTCCCTCCAACACCCGCCCCGTCTTGTGCCCTGTGGTGTGCCCTCTCCCCTTCCTCCTGCTGCACCTTCGGCTGCCCAGTGTTGACGCCCAGGCCAATGCTACCTCCTCTGTGGCAGTTTCCCTGACCTGTCCCAGCTCTCCTTGTTCCCTGCCCCGGGACTCTGCGGCACCTTGGTTTATGCCGTGTGTCTTAGAACCTGAGTTGTGCCATTATCTTTGCGGTGCAGATCACTTTCAGTGAGGTCATTTGGAACCAGACAGGGGGATTCAAATTCTGGACCTACCACCTGATAGCTCTGTGATCTCGGAGAGGCTGTTCATAACTTCTGGGGCCTCAGTCTCCACGACTGCAAAGCGAGCACGACAATATCCAGTTCGCACAGTCGCTCTGACGAGCCAAGGAAATCTTTGTAGGAGGTGCCCAGAGCAGTGCCTGGAGCACAGCACGAGGTGCACAGCTGTCACCTCCTTCCGCCAGCCTCCACTCCCCCGCCAGCTGCTAGCCTCTCAGAGGCCACTTTGTTCCCTCTTTTGCTGGTGTCCTAGGACTTGGCACACAGTACATTCTCGGCAAATTCCTGCTGGTGGATTGGAAGGACAAGACGATGGGTTTGATCTCACGTCCACCGGAGTCCCTTCGCTGGCCACTGACACTTCAGCCCCATCCTGTTGTCGGCTTATGACTTCGTTTCTCTCTCTGTCTAGCAGGCGTCCTTACACGTGGTGCTCCTCGGTTTGGTACTATTCTCTCGTGATACGGATGCTTGTATGGAAACTAAATGTCAGGTACTCCCTGCCCTTAGCAATTTGGATCGATACGGACAGAATGCTGTCAGGCTGCCCGTGATTCCTACAATGTCAGGTGATAACTTCCTCGTACAACGAAAGACTTGCTCCTATGGCTCCGCTTGCTGTGGTCTGGGCTGTCCTGGGTGCAAGGTTCAATGCCTTCAGCAGTTTCCACACACACACACACACACACACACACACACACACACACACACAGCCAAAAACCTACACCAAGATTTTGTGGGTGTGAATCCTCTGCTGAAGATCTGAAAGGTCACAGGGAACAGATTCCATCATGAACCAGGTGGGTTTTTCCACCATCTGACAGGCTCAGACCTTCTTTTTCTCTTCCTCTGTCTGCACAAGCCATATCTGTCCCCTTTCTTGCACAGAATCCTCTAACCCACAGCTGAATTCTTTGGGGGAGGGGTGTCACCTCCTGCCCGCTAACACTAAAAAAAAATTTTTTTTAATGTTTATTTATTTTTGAGAGAGAGAGAGAGAGAGAGCCAGAGCGTGAGTGGGGAAGAGGCAGAGAGGGAGACGGAGACACAGAGTCTGAAGCAGGCTCCAGGCTCTGAGCTGTCAGCACAGAGCCCAGCGTGGGGCTCAGACCCACGAGCTGTGACATCATGACCTGAGCAGAAGTCGGACACTTAACCTACCGAGCCACCCAGGCGCCCCTGCCCGCTAACATTTAAACTAAGGTACAATTCTAAACAAACCCTGTTCCTTTCCAGAGAGGAATTTTAGTCGAAGTTTCTTAATACGATAATATTTTTCTACCTGGTAAGGTAGAGAAGTGCCACCTAGATTGTAAATTCTTGAAGGTAAACGCTGTGTTAAGCTTTATTCGCACCCCCTCCCCCCACCACCTGATACAATGTAGGGTGGGGGGGGCACTTACTGAGCACAAGATAAAGGAAGTTAAATTAAAAGCCATAGAAAGAAGACTGGCATGTATCCTTTGGTTAAGAATTATTAGAGCCCTAAATATCAGAAGGTCTCAGAAGGAAGGCAGGGTCACTTTTGAATGGCTCCAAGTGGAATCAAAGGGACCGAGCGCTGACCTACTTAGCATGTGCTTCATAATAATGAAATGGAATCAGGAAGAGACTGTGTGCCTGCGGCCTCTGCACCACCTGTGTTCCCATTTTCAAACCACCGTTTCCTGTGACAGAAAACTCCAGCTCTCCCTCTTCTTCCTCAGTCCTGTGGTGAGTGAGGCCTCTCAGAACGAAATCAGAGCAACGTGGTCCTGGGGCCCGTTGGCCCCATTGTTCATTCACAAAGAAATCCCATCTGAACGTTTCTAAATAGGAGGTGGGGCCTTTTTCCACCCCTGGAGCCTCTTCGAAGCCGCTGAGGAGGCTGGTCGAGAACCCCGGCACAATTTGTGAGCCCTCACCTTTGGTCCTCTCCCCTGTGGGTTGTGGTTTAAACCTGACAACTTGGCCCGGAGCCACGCCTCCAAGGCAAAGGATGGGGGGCCTTTTTTTTTTTTTTATCTAAAAGTCCATTGCCCCAGACACACAAAAGCTGTCGTCCCTCCTCAAGTCCGCCAAACCTCATTCTTCAAGGAGAGAGAGAAGAAAACGAAAAAGAATCTGAGAAACAAACGTAGTCTCCTCCAGGACGTAGTGAGATGCTGCCCCATAACGGTCTGAGAACAGATCTCCTTCCTGCCTTTCATGTGGTTCTGTCTGCAAGGCTGTCTGCAAAAGCGCACAGCGACTTGAAGAAGTCAGTCAGCTTTCAAAAAACACCCTCTCGTCGACGGTGGCTTCCACTCAGAATTGGGGATGCTCACAACCCATACGCTGATTTGAGGTCCGGGACCACCCAAGGGAACAGTTTCACAGAGTTTCCGGGTTCCAGAAAGGCCCCTCACGCCCGCCTATCCCACCCACACTGTGTTGCAGAGGCTACTGGTTGTGCCCACACTTTTCCCCATCCATCCACGGAAGCACGGGTGTTGTCCAGTCCCAGGGCCGGCCAGCCTCCCTTGCGGCAGGGGTGGCCATGTGACGAGGCTCCAGCCCATGAGGTACCTTCCAGGCTCCACCCTTCCGCCACTGTTGTCACGCCGGCCGGACTGGGTGCACGATGAAGAGGGACCTGCCTCTGCCCTCGGTAGCAGTGGGTGCTCCCTGGCCTTGTTAGAAAGGGGGAGCCCCTGGGGCTCACTGGCAGGTGTCACCTGTCTCTTCCTCTGCACTAACCCAGGCTTGCTGAGCCAACTTGTTGGCGATCTACGGAAAAGTAGCTTCTTTCCAAGAGGAGCTCCCAGGGACATTCCCTTTTAGCTGAATTGCTTAAGGTTTTGTATTATTCGTTCTAGCATAGATGTAACTCTCTCCAAAGACGGTCACGAAGGACAACAGCAAGGCCCACACCATCGACCCACATCAACACGCTCTGGGGGACCTCGCGAGAGTGCTCTGTAGCACCCTAAGATTTGGACTTGGCAATAAAGGTGCTTCCTAGCAAGAGACATTAAGATGTTTCTTACCGTGCTCACTGGGAATCAGCAGAAACAAACAAACAAACAAACAAACAAACAAACAAAGACGTTTCTTACTGTAAAATAATGAAGTGGCCATTGGAAGAAGGATGAGTCTACCACTGGGAGCCTGGACAAATGTCATCAGAAAAATGGCACAGTGAAGAGATCTCCAATAAACCCTCAGACTCCACCGCTCGGTCCCAAGGCTGGAATTTCCCTTGTATGAAGTCTTTGTTAAACTAACAGCCACTCCTCATCATCTCTTGATGGGTCACTGCAAGGGTGGCCCTTCCCCATAACTAGTGTCTCTTTCTGCTGCCTCTTCCCTGCCCCCACCTATTCTCCACACCACTGAAATTTCTCTCCGAAATGCAAAGCCGATCGTGTTACTCCTCTATCGATTGTCGCTTCCGATTGCCTGTAGGGTAACACAGGACAAGACCCAGCTGCCTCTGCTTTTCCCTCTGCCTGGAATGTCTTTCTTTGATCTGCTTGGGTAATTTGTATTTACTCTCCAAAACCCACTTGGTGTCGCATCCTCTGCGATGGTCTCTCTGATTCCTTCAGATAGCCTCAATCATTCCTTCTTCTATGTTACTTCTGTTCTGCCCATACCACTACACGATCTAGGATTAGCTACTTCCAGAATGATCTCTTTCCTTAAGGGCAAGGATCAGGCCTTTTTTTTTTTTTTTTTTTTTTTTTTTTGTCTTCGTGCACTCAGCACCTAGCACAATGTTGGAACGTGGTAGAATCTCAACAGAGGTTGTCAAACTAAGCACAGTATTTTAAGGATTAGTAATACTCATTAAACACAAGTCAATAAGCTAATAGAACTCTGTTTTCTGTCTTTAGGCAGCCTGGTGTACTGGGAATGGCATGCCACAGCCCAGCTATGTGAATTTGTTCTGATGCGCCATTGTTCCCCACCCCCAGAGGCAGGAGGGAGGGATCTCTATTTGTGTTATGGATTGAACTGTGCTTCCCCCAAAATTCACATGTTGAAGTCTTTAGAATGTGACCTTATTTGGAAACAGTGTCTTTACAGAGGTGATCAAGTTGAAATGAGATCATTCGGGTGGCGTTATGAGCTGAACTGTGTCCCTCCCAAACTCATATTTTGAAGCCTTAACCCTTAGTACCTCAGAATGCAAATGTATTTGGAGATGGGATCTTAAAATGGGCGAGTAAGTTAAAATGAGGCCATTAGGATGGGCTCCAATCCAATCACAGGAAATCCGGACACACGAAGAGATGTGTGCACACACAGAGGAAAGACCACAGGGAGACACGGCAAGAAGGTGGCTATCTGCAAGCCAAGGAGAGAGGCCTCAGCAAAAAAGCCCAGCCCTGTCAACACTTTGATCTTGGACTTCTAGCCTCCAGAGTTTGAGAAAATAAATTCCTGTCACTCAAACACCCAGTCCGTGGTCTTCTCTTATGGCAACACCAGAAAACCGATTACAGGGGAGCCCTGATCCAACATGACTGGTGTCCTTATAAGATGAGGGAATCTGAACGGAGATAGGCTCTGAGGGAAGAGAGTGTGAAGAGACACGAGGAGAAGGCAGCCGCCTGTCAGCCACGGAGAGGGGCCTCCACAGACCTCTTCCTCACAGGTTCAGAAACAACCAGCCTTACCGACCATGTGATTCTGGACTTCTAGTCTCCAGAACTGTGAGGCAATACATTCTGGTGGTCGAAACCACCCCATTGCTGGAACTCGGTCACAGCAGCCCTAGCAGCAAATATCCCTTGTAAACTTTGGTTAGCCTTCTTCCCACTCTACGTGCAAAGTGAATCATAGAATACTGACTCTGGGCAGAGCTTCGTGATCTATGAAGACTTTGGAAAGCACTAATTAAATTCTTCTTGAACCACAGAGAAAAGCGCAAAGAGAGTCCTTCCTTTTTTTGAGATAGGCCAGGGTAAAACTCTTCATGCCCTGTCTTTGCTCTAGGAGGTTTGCCATGACCACAGAAGGCTCAAGAAAATCCTTGCATTTTTACAATTATTTACGAGGCGTTTAAAGCGTGTTATGTTTTCCACGACTACTTAGGAGGATTCCAGGATCAGACAGCTCAGCCCTGCTACGTGCTCTGTGTGTGACTTTCCTATGTCTTTGCTTCCTCGTCTGTGAAGTGGGGGTGTACTGATGCTCTTTGGTGGCTGTGAGAATTGAGTGCGAGGCCACACAAGTGGCATATAGGAAACAGTTAAGACCTGTCAGTGGTTACGATTTTAGATAAAGAATCTAAGTCTCAGACAAGTTAAGAGGCCTTACGCTTGCAAGTAAGCAGAGTGGCATTGGGTCCAGAGCCACTGGGGACACCTTCCACAAACCCTAGAACGCCTCCCTCGTAGACACACCAAGTCTACAGCGGGCTGAAGTCCCCTTGGAATGGCTCCTGTTCCCCACAGTGGATGCAGAAAAGAGAATGTCAGGGCATCAGTAATGCTCGGAGGGCCAGCAGCCAGGTCCTTCTGTCCCTGAACCCACCTGAGGCGTGGACACAGGATCTGTCATTGAAAAGGGTCAGCGGTCTGTCTAGCTAGCTTCCACCCTCAGATGGTCACTTAATCGGCCCTCCCCTCCTTTTGATAGCAGAATAATGATGCTGTGCTTCCTGGAGAATGAGCAGTCAGAAGGTGGAGGCTTAGGTGCTAAACCTCGAGGAAGCATGGGGAGGGTACTGAGATGCTACGAGCTTCACCTTCCTCGTCTATAAAACGAGGGCAGCGAGAACACTTAACTGGTAGGGTCATTGTGAGGACAAAACAGATGAGACCTCTGAAAGCGCTCTGCCAATAACAAAGTACTGTGTGGTTTGTCATCATTCCCGAACGCCACAATCCAGGTCTTGGTCAGAGAGCTAACCCCCCGGGGCATCTGACTTGCTATGAGGTTCACGGTCCATACCGTTAACAGGTGGCCCTTCATTATACCCTGCTTTCCATTACTGAGCAGATGCTTCACGTCTTGTCATCACACCATGCTGCTGGAGAGCACAGGTCAGGTCTCATAGCCGTGCCCAATTTGCTGCACGGAGGGGGTCGACAAGTCTTATCGATGGTGCAGACCTGTCCCACCATGAGCAGACCGTGCACTGGGGAGTCGAGACCTGCCACCCTTGCGGGTTAGAGCCAAGACAGGAGGGGAAAGGAAGAATCACGACGGGGAGGCCCGCGCTCTGGGTCTGGCTCCATCGTTTCCCACCGGTGTCCTCGGCTGGGAACTGAGCAGAATGCCCTCCTGGCGATTACGAGCGCCAGGCACCCACCGAACGCACCCGAGGAAGCTTTTATCAACCGTAGAGAAAAATGTCAAGTGTCGTTCCCAGGGTGGAGGCGGGAACCATTGGTTCCGGTTGGGGACTGAGCCCCTATCGTCAATGTGCCACACCGGCCCCCACCAGGGCACTCACCTGGAGGGTCTGGCATGCACACGGACCACGGGGTGAAGGTCTGCGAGTGGTTGCCGATGGGGTTGCTCACGGTGCAGACGTAGACGTTGTGGACGTGCTGAGGGCCCAGGCTGAGGTGCAGGTGCGAGCTGTTGGCTGAGATCGGCGGGTCGGCACCTGTCTCCTCCCTCCAGCTGTAAGCCACATGGTCCCCCTTCTCCACTTCGCAGGCCAGCGTCAAGCTGCAGTTTCCGCTCTCCTGGGTCCAGTTCAACACCTTTATTTCCGGAGTGGAGACCTGTTCTGTCAGGAGGGGGAGGAAAGAAGGCCTCACTCGAGTGAACCCCCTGGGATTCTGACTGGACCTTTCCGTCAGAAGAAAATGCAACCTGATGGCGTTTTTCCTTCTCTGTGGGTCTGCAGTGCGATTTATTCTAGTGGGGACTTACCGGTTCCCCAAATCCCTCTCTCTCCACTACGCTCCCTTCCGGTGCGAGCTCGGGACAAAATAGAGAAAAGTAATCTGTCGTTTAGTCCCCTCCTCCCACTACTGTTAGGGACCTACCTCCTCTTGCTAATACTCCTGATCTGATACTTGAGTATGACCTCCTAGATCTGAAAGAATGACTGGGTGGTGGGGTTTTTATCTAGAGTGTGTGTTGGGAAGGGGTGCTCACTCTAATGCCAGGAAATAGCCGAGGCCAGGGAGCAAGTTGTATTTATTTAGCGATTACTGTAGGACAGACACGATTCTGGCACTGCACATTCATCATCACCTTTAATCTTCTCAACAACTTTCTCAACAATCGTAGACTTAGTGGTAAGTATTCCCATCTTACAGGTGAAGACACTGAGTCCCGCAGGGATGGCAGGGGTCACATACTATGTGAGCTCAGAACCTAGGTCTCTCTGACTCGGAAATCCAGCTTCTTCCTTGGACTCGAGAAGACTCTCGTGGTTGCATAGACCGCACTTTCCAAGGTAAGAATTTAGGTGACAAGACGTGACAAAGGCAATGAACTGTTCTGGAAAATACATGATGGGTCATCCCTGGGGGGCACTACTGGAGTGGCCAGAACTCCCTGGTACCTGTCAAGGGGCTGAAGGGAGTCTGCATACACTGTGTGGAGGAGGGGGAAGGACTCTCCTGATGTCCTCCTGTAGGTATCTGGGGATTTCAAAGAAATGCTGGGTAGGTGAGGCTCTCTATCCCATCTCAGAGATAAGTCTCTCTATAAAGGAGCCTCTGGGCTGGAAAGACACAAACTCTGGGTGCATTCAAGAGGGGCTGGCAGTTAAAGAGGCTCAAAAAAAGCACTGGCCTTGGACTCAGATGGACCTAGGTTCTAGTTTAAGTTCTGCAACTAAGCGACTTTATAACCAGAGTCTCTGTTGCGATGCCAAAAAAAAAAAAAAAAAAAAAAAAAAAAAAAAAAAAAAAAAAAGAGCCCTTCTAGCAGGTGGATGTGGTCCTGTTCCTGGGCATGGGGCGTGGGAGTGGTGCATGGGCTGAGACTCAGCTCTCCTTTGCCCAGGCCCCTAGTGCAGGGGACCAGCCACGAGGACGTGTGTAAGCACATGACAGTCCTGTGGATTTCAATGTCTTCATCTATGGAAAAGAGGTCGGACTTGATCCGCGGCATTCAAACATTTTAAAAATCGGGGGAAACACAAAACCCTTTTTCAAGCCAAGTCTTATTTGCAAATTGAGACTCTCAAGCTCCTAGGCCCTGTAGTCCGTGAACAGCTAGGCTCCTCGTCTTTGGCAAATGGGGGTAGTAATTAGTGCTCTCAGCTACCACCAATGGGCCATTTGGACAAAAAAGATTTGTGAATCTCTAAAACCTCTTCCTAAACCACAGTTTAAACACCCTGGACTTGCTGATCTTTAAAAGTCACTCCCAATCTTGGAACCCTCGCTAAATTCTTAGGCAAGGGACTATCGCTGCCCACC